CCAACATACAATAGATGAGTTATTTTGAATTGTACCACAAACCAGTCTCGTGTCCGTTGCAGAGACGCTACGCTGATAGAAAGTAACAAATTGGCAGAATTAATTGTGTATACATATTTGCTTTTAGATTATAATGCTTGAATATCTTTATGAATGCAACAGACTAATAACAGTAGTGTTCATAATGTTTCCAAATAATTACAAAACGGTATGCGAGCCCTAACTTCTTTACAAATACCATGATTTATAATATGAGTTGGATCTTTTTATAGCCCACAAACTGATCTTCGTGTACAGAAAAATTTCTTGTAAAAGTTGTTACACTTTATGATCATCTAAGCCAATTGAAATGTTGAAACCGGTTTAGCATAAATAATATAATCTGCACAGTGGTTCAATGCACTACTCGCACAAGGCTGTAGTTTGCAAAACTAGTTCCCATAGGCGGCAGGTAGGAGAACCAAGCTGTAAAAGATTCTTATAAAAAGTGTATATACTTGGTCTATTATAAAATCTTACAGCACTATTTATGAAAACTATTCCATCCACTTATACATATGTTTATATACATAAGAACAGACCAAAGGCTCTTTAATTCTTCGGAGTTTATTGTAATGCTTACCATTTTCGAACAATCTAAAACAATTTCTACTGCTTCTCGTCACCGTTTTTCACCAAGCATTAATATTGTTTGCCCTTCGTGTTTACAAAGACAAATTTGGTTCAAATATAAAAAAAGCTCTAACGAAACCACATTTGTAATCGTATTCTATTGTAATGCAGTTACAAGGTTAACAAAACTACTGTTTCACGCACCGAGTCACCAAAACCAACGAAGAACGTGTACGCTAAACTGGAGAGATGTATATCTAAGTTTATTTGTTTTATTTTTACTTGGCTATGCGCTAAATTATTATATTAAATTATTTTTTCAGCTCCAGCAGCTGCTGAAACGCGCCTAATAGCAAAAATTCCAACACATAAGCGCAAAAATAGCTACACGTTTTATTCCTGCTTCTTCTTCTCATTCACCCCAGGTGTATTTGTTTACATCCTTCCCAGGTGCGATTTTGCATAATTTTCACTTCTTGTTTGTGCACTTCAATTTTCCATCCGATTCAGCGTCCAAATATATCACGGTTAATTCGATTTTTAACCTATTTTCCAGTCCCTAAAACTTGCACGTATATGAAAAATCGCGTAGTTATACAAATTTATTTTGACAACTAAAGTCAAAGTGACACCATTTAAGAAAACGATAGGGACACGAATTTCGATACGATACCATATCGATACTTTTGGCATTCGGTACCGATATTTTGCTTTCCATTTTATTAAAAAAAAACGCGAAAATGAAGCAAGGAAATTTGTTCAATGATTTCGT